TAGGTGCATTACAGTAGGTCTTAATATATAGGCAATCTGTCTCAATGTTAATCTAAAATTAAAAGAAAAAAGTGAATCACTTACTGCTCTTGATTGAACTGCTTTTTCAATTTATTTGTAATGAACACACTAAAGGGATTTTTAAATTTGATTATTTGTTTTTCTTGAATGCTTTTGTTTAGATGTAAAATAGAAACAAAATATATACAGTGGGTAGTTAGTTAACTTAAATCTTGTAACTATTTTAAACAAATTTATTACACATAGAATCTAAACTCATTATACTCAATATACTTATCCATCCATTTACAAAAACAAATAATAACAATTAATTCAGGGTATACCTGCACCTTACGGACAGACGCCCAAAAAATAAAACATAATAAAATAAAAGCAAACAAAATAAAATACAACAAAATTACACAAGATGTTTTAAATTAACATATGATAAAAATAATTTATGATAAAAGTCCTTTAGAGACCTTACTAATTAAAATCACATTTACTTGCATTAGAAGCAGAGCAGTCCAGTAAGATGTGATTAATTAGAGAGAAAATTGTAACCTTGCAACCATCTGCTACAGTATCAGAACAGACTGATATGGGCAATATTGAACCCCCCAAAGAATCTATTCCAATTATTATCTGCTATAGGAGTGGAAGAATAGTCTAAACTTGAGAAATCTTGAGTAGTCTGGGCAGTATGGCAATATTTTATTTAAATTCAACCTCTAACAAACACGTAAAAAACATGCAGAAACAAATCATTCACATGTAACAGTTGCGTCATAAATGGAGAATCTATCTATTTCACCAATTTTAGCATGACTGCATGTTTATCTTGATTTCATAATAAAATTTTGCTGTATACACCTGTTAAAAATTAATTAAAAGTAACTTTTACTATATAATTACTTTTGAAAAACAACGACATAGAGTTAATCAAGATTAAAAAGTAATTTTACTGTAATAAGCATGAGTGTCCCACTAGCGGAACAGTGACCGTGAACTCTTTAGTGCCCACCCACTTCCATGAAGCACCGTGAATAATGTTTCCTTATAAACATCAAAGTTTGTAATGCTTGAGTTATTCACCTCTGGTTAGTTTGGTTCATGGTTTATAACTCTTTAAAGACTTTTTAAAAAATCCCACTGTGAAAAAATTTAAGATTTGAAGTTTTAAAATTATAACTTTTTTTTTTTAATTGTAATTATTTAATTTTTTTGTGGGATGTGCCTCCCAGTACTGGGTCGCTCTGGATTTAACAGATTAATCAATGAGATTTTGCAACTAATAAAAACAGCTATTAGTTTTTAGAAAGCAATTAGAATAACAGCTTCAACAAAAGTAGCAAGAACCTTTCAAAAGAGATCTATTACTTACGCATAATTCTGTGGAAGGTTTGAAGAGGACTGAGCGGAATGTTGACTAATGACTGATCTGCATCCTCTACACACATATACAAAATACAAACCTTCTCAGCTGTCTGAAAGTATTCCTTCACAAGATCTTCCACTCTCAGCTGTAAGACCTCAGAGGTGGGACGAGAAAGAAGTGCTTCAAAGTCCATACATTCTTCTGCAGAACACACATAGCATAAACTTAAATACTAATCTAAAAATTGTGCACATGCAGTCATGCAAGATGTTCAATTAATTAGTAAGCCACAAGCAAAGTTTTGCCATAGCATTAGTGAAACTGACCCTTATGTCATTCCAAACCCACATGACTGACTTCCATCAAACACGATGGAACATTTAAAGAAATGTTGTTTTGTATTGGCTGCTCTTTTCTATGTAATTACAATGAATTTGACTGTCAAGTTTCAAAAAGGACACAGAGGAACTATAAATGTATCGAAAAAGTGGTCTATATGTCGTATGCTGTATACCAATTCTACTGAAGATAAACGGTAGCTTTGTGGAATAAAAGAATATTTATTTTTATAATATACAGTATATTTTCTTCCCCTCCATTCAGCTTCTGAACCAGACAAGACCAATTCATAAAAAGATTATTCAGGGTTTGGGGGGGGGGTCGCCATCCCACTCGGCCATCCCACTTAAAAAAAAAAAAGCCTATAGGAGTGCATGCAAAAGTCAAATGTTCTTTAAAACTTGAAAGCCTCAAACCCCATATATTCCACATTCCATAGATATCACAATATATTGCTACCAGGATCCCCCCCCCAATAATCGAGTAGTGAAAAATCTGGGGCCGTATGTATAAAGCCGCTCAGAGTAAAATTTTAGTCCTAAGTGTGTCAAAATACTCTTATTCCTAGACTTAAGAATAAAAGTGATTCATAAAGGTTCCTAAGTGTTAAGACTAGGTCCCAGCCCCTAAATTATTTAAGAGAGCTGAAGAGGTCTCCTAACCTAGTTAGGAGTAACAAGATGACAGCACAGAGGAGGAAACAAACACTTTCCAGTGAAGATATGACATATTGGAGTTATATGATGATATGGAGTTGATAAAACGATACAAACTTGATTGCCAAGATCAAAAAGCCGTTTTTTTTTTCTTTGTAACTGACAAAGTAAGACATTTAATAACCTCTTCCACTCAAGTCAATGCTCTAACTGCAGAAATGTAGTAATTAAATTTTTTTGGCTGTAAAATTGGAAAAATGAAGCAATGCACCGGTGATGACACAGTAAGCAGGGTTTTACATATTGTGGCACTAACCCCATCAAACACAACAGTGGCCAAAAGTAATGTGTGGATCTTTTTTTTAATGACCCCACATTTCACTTAAACCACTAACATACAAAGGGGAAAAAAACAATGACCAGTGTTGCCAACTGCTTTCAATCGAAAGTAGCTGAAACTGGTCACTTAATGTTGCTAGATGACCTCATAAAGGTGAGTTCACTGATCTATATTTATATTTATATAGATCAGTGAACTCACCTTTATAAGGTCATCTAGCAACATTAAGTGGGCAGTTTTAGCTACTTTCGATTGAAAGCAGTTGGCAACACTGGTCAGTGTTTTTTTCCCCTTTGTATGTTAGTGGTTTAAGTGAAATGTGGGGTTATTAAAAAAAAAATCCACACATCACTTTTGGTCACTGTTGTGCTTGGTGGGGTTAGTTTCACAATATAAGACCCTGCTTACTGTGTCATCACCGGTGCATTGCTGCATTTTTCCAATTTTACAGCCAAAAAAATTTAATT